TATACCACACAAGCTAGAGAGAGACTGTCCTGTGACGCTATACCACACAAGCTAGAGAGAGACTGTCCTGTGACGCTATACCACACAAGCTAGAGAGAGACTGTCCTGTGACGCTATAACCACATACCTCTAGAGAGAGGACACGCTATACCACACAAGCTAGAGAGAGACTGTCCTGTGACGCTATACCACACAAGCTAGAGAGAGACTGTCCTGTGACGCTATACCACACAAGCTAGAGTAAGACTGTCCTGTGACGCTATACCACACAAGCTAGAGTAAGACTGTCCTGTGAAGAGAGGGACGTGGAGCACAAAGTAGACTCACAACAAGAAGAGAGGGACATGGAGCACAAGGTAGACTAGCAACAAAAAGAGAGGGACGTGGAGCACAAGGTAGACTAGCAACAAAAAGAGAGGGAGGTGGAGCACAAGGTAGACTCACAACAAGAAGAGAGGGACGTGGAGCACAAGGTAGACTAGCAACAAAAAGAGAGGGACGTGGAGCACAAGGTAGACTAGCAACAAAAAGAGAGGGACGTAGAGCACAAGGTAGACTAGCAACAAAAAGAGATGGACGTGGAGCACAAGGTTGACTAGCAACAAAAAGAGAGGGACGTGGAGCACAAGGTAGACTCACAACAAGAAGAGAGGGACGTGGAGCACAAGGTAGACTAGCAACAAAAAGAGAGGGACGTGGAGCACAAGGTAGACTCACAACAAGAAGAGAGGGACGTGGAGCACAAGGATAGACTAGCAACAAGAAGAGAGGGACATGGAGCACAAGGTAGACTAGCCACAAGAAGAGAGGGACGTGGAGCACAAGGATAGACTAGCAACAAGAAGAGAGGGACATGGAGCACAAGGTAGACTAGCAACAAGAAGAGAGGGACATGGAGCACAAGGTAGACTAGCCACAAGAAGAGAGGGACATGGAGCACAAGGTAGACTAGAAACAAGAAGAGAGGGACATGGAGCACAAGGTAGACTAGCAACAAGAAGAGATGGACATGGAGCACAAGGTTGAGTAGCAACAAGAAGAGATGGACGTGGAGCACAAGGTAGACTCACAACAAGAAGAGATGGACATGGAGCACAAGGTAGACTCACAACAAGAAGAGATGGACATGGAGCACAAGGTTGACTCACAACAAGAACGAAAAGGGGAAAAAAACTCTTTAACAGCACGACGTGTCTTTTGTTGAGGTGACCTAAAGAGCAAGAAGCAGAACCTTAGATCTCACTCGACAGCCGAAGCGGTAAAAGATTAAGTAAGGAAACAAAGGGAAAATTAATAATAATATTAATAATAATAATAATAATAATAATAATAATAATAATAATAATAATAATAAGAAGAAGAAGAAGAAGAAGAAGAAGAAGAAGAAGAAGAAGAAGAAGAAGAAGAAGAAGAAGAAGAAGAAGAAGAAGAAGAAGAAGAAGAAGGAGGAGGAGGAGGAGTAGGAGGCGGAGAAGAGGAAGAATCTTATATCTTGCTAAACTAAAATTACCTAAAATCATATGCTGCCATAAAAGTGTCTCATATCCTGATATCCGCCATCTTCCAAAGCCATTTAGCATATCTAGGCACAGAGGTGTTGTGTGAGAGCAAGTTTGCTGTGTCGAGGTAACGTCATACAGTCACCGGGACATGTCTGTCAGCACTAAATGTTGTATGAGATCAAGTTTGCTGTGACGAGGTAACGTCATACAGTCACCGGGACAAGTCTGTTAGCACTAAATGTTGTGTGAGATCAAGTTTGCTGTGTCGATGTAACGTCATATAGTCACCAGGACATGTCTGTCAGCACTAAATGTTGTGTGAGATCAAGTTTGCTGTGTTGATGTAACATCGTACAGAGTCACCAGGACAAGTCTGTTAGCACTAAATGTTGTATGAGATCAAGTTTGCTGTGTTGTTGTAACGTCATACAGTCACCAGGACAAGTCTGTTAGCACTAAATGTTGTGTGAGAGCACGTTTGCTGTGTCGAGGTAACGTCGTATACAGTCTCCAGGTCAAGTCTGTTAGCACTTAATGTGTGAGATCAGGTTTGCTGTGTCGATGTAACGTCATACAGTCACCAGGACAAGTCTGTTAGCACTTAATGTGTGAGAGCAAGTTTGCTGTGTTGATGTAACGTCATACAGTCACCAGGACAAGTCTGTTAGCACTAAATGTGTGAGAGCAAGTTTGCTGTGTTGATGTAACGTCATACAGTCACCAGGACAAGTCTGTTAGCACTAAATGTGTGAGAGCAAGTTTGCTGTGTTGATGTAACGTCATACAGTCACCAGGACAAGTCTGTTAGCACTAAATGTTGTGTGAGATCAGGTTTGCTGTGTCGATGTAACGTCATACAGTCACCAGGACAAGTCTGTTAGCACTAAATGTGTGAGAGCAAGTTTGCTGTGTTGATGTAACATTGTACAGAGTCACCAGGACAAGTCTGTTAGCACTAAATGTTGTGTGAGATCAAGTTTGCTGTGTTGATGTAACGTCATATAGTCACTAGGACATGTCTGTTAGCACTAAATGTTGTGTGAGATCAAGTTTGCTGTGTCGATGTAACATCGTACAGAGTCACCAGGACAAGTCTGTTAGCACTAAATGTTTTGTGAGACGAAGTTTGCTGTGTCCATGTAACGTCACATACAGTCACCAGGACATGTCTGTAGGCACTAAATGCGTTATTTCCCTGCGCAGGTTGGAGGCATACCTCAGACCGGTTTTGTGGACCTCCGCACTCAGACGTTGATGCTGAGGCCCAGGTGCGGAAACACCGATGATTTTGTCGACGATGTTCGAGTCATCAACGATGAAGAGGACGGCTTCCAAATTCGCAAGAGACGCTACACCGTGTCTACCTCCAGATGGCCACGCACCAATATCACTTTCAGGTAAGTACGGGACACATGCATTCAAATCCTCATCAGGGTTGAGGAATTTTGTTTTTTTCTTGTCAGGGATAAAAATAAAATCCTTACCGGACAGTCCGTGGCTTCAGCAGTAGCTATGCAGTCCTAAATCCTCAGGCTCAAATATCCCACCCGCTCCTTACACCGCACAAATGGTAAATAAAGGCAGTAAGGATATACCCCTCCCCTTTTTTCCCCACACCAGAAGACAGACCAGACTGACAGTCCCGCATGTAGACAGACCAGACTGACAGTCCCGCAGACAGACAGACACACCAGACTGATAGTCCCGCAGACAGACAGACCAGACCAGACAGACAGACAGACCAGGCTGACAGTCCCGCAGACAGACAGACCAGACAGACAGACCAGACTAATAGTCCCGCAGGCAGACAGACCAGACTGATAGTCCCGCAGGCAGACAGACCAGACAGACAGTCCCGAAGACAGACATACCAGACTGACAGTCCCGCAGGGAGAAATACCAGACTAACAGTCCCGCAGACAGACAGACCATACAGACAGTCCCGCAGGGACAAATACCAGACTGAAAGTCCCGCCGACTAACACAACAGACCGACAGTACCACAAGCAGACAAACGCGCAATCACATATATGGAACAGATAAAAATAGAACACGTTAGACCAGCCGTTCTCAACCTGTGGGCAGAACGACACTTTCACATGGGTCGCCAAAGATCACTGGAAAATACATCATCACTGAAGTTAGGAACTAGCAACGAAAATCTGTGTATGGTTGCGGGTGGCCACATGGGGGTGGGGCGGTGACAATGGGTGGCCACATGGGGGTGGGGCGGTGACAATGGGTGGCCACATGGGGGTGGGGTGGTGACAATGGGTGGCCACATGGGGGTGGGGCGGTGACAATGGGTGGCCACATGGGGGTGGGGCGGTGACAATGGGTGGCCACATGGGGGTGGGGCGGTGACAATGGGTGGCCACATGGGGGTGGGGCGGTGACAATGGGTGGCCACAACATGAGGAATTGTATTAAAGGTTCGCCGCATTAGGAAGGTTGAGAACCCCTGCGTTAGACATACTGCTCTTGTAAAAGACCTAAAATAGACATACAATTTACAGAGATAAATACATGGAACATTTTGAAAAGTGGTGTGTTTGTGGGTGGGCTGGGGGTGGGTGACAATAAAGAAGGACGGCGTTCAATGTAAGATTATGACAACATTAAATGTGTGTCCGGAATTGGTTTTTCTCCTGGTGTGCTTACTCAAAGAAGAGTTGTAAATCGAGATAGAACTGTATCGTTAGTTGCTACATGCTAAGGGTATATCGAAGAGGGGACCTGAGCACTTGTGGTCAGAATGGGTTGAAATGCAGCGAGGACGATGTATCGGCTAACTAACTAATTAACTAACAGACTGATAGTCTGACTGACTAGCAAGCCCCAATTAATATCGCTGGAAGTTCAGCGCTCAGCTGTAAGTACCAATGATTGTAGTGGTGCCTGGATGTCAGTGACTCCAGGTCCTTAACCAGGACATCTGGGCCTGGCTCAAGTGCCAACACTTAACGTTCCCTGGACCAGCTGTAACATTTGATGTGAGTTTATCTTTGGGAAACACTCGCCATCTTAGCAGTCTTGACACAAGCCATAGGAAACTGCCTTGACAGTTACAAGGTCAGGATGTGGTCCCACCTTCGCAGGGACATGGCCTCAGACATTCTGATTTCTCTTGTGCCGTCTCTATATGTTGGGAAAAGGGGGAGGGGGGGGGGAGGGGCTAAGGCATATGTCTTGTAGTTCTTTAGTGTAGTGCTTGCTATATATATAGCATATGTATATATATATATAGTATAGATATATATATATATATATATATATATATATATAGATATATATAAAGCAAGCACTACAGACAACTACATATATATATATATATATATATATATATATATATATATATATTATATAGATATATATATATATATATATATATATATATATATATATATATATATATATATATATATATATATGTATATGTAGTTGTCTGTCTTATGTGCTAGTGATTGCTTGCTATATATATATATATTATATGTAGTTGTCTGTCTTATGTGTTAATGATGCTTGCTATATATATATATATATATATATATATATATATATATATATATATATATATATATATATATATAGTCTGTCTTGTTTGTTAGTGATTGTTTGCTATATATATATATATATATATATATATATATATATATATATATATATATATATATATATATATATATATATATATATATATATATATATATATATATATATATATATTTATGTAGTTGTCTGTCTTTTGTGTTAGTGATTGCTTGCTATATATATATTTATGTAGTTGTGTGTCTTCTTGTGATAATCCCTGCCTAAAATGTCTTGTTTGTTAGTGATTGTTTGCTATATATATATATATATATATATATATATATATATATATATATATATATATATATATATATATATATATATATATATATATATGTAGTTGTCTGTCTTGTGTGTTAGTGATTGCTTGCTATATATATATTTATGTAGTTGTGTGTCTTGGTGTGATAATCCCTGCCTAAAATGTCTATTTACAGCTTGAACGTAACCACACACAAAACAATGTGCCACCTTGCTAGTAATAATACGTGTTTTATGTCCACCGAATACGACACCCACAGTTGTGAGAAAAAATGTTGTACTCTTTCCGTAATCACTCCCTTCCCCCCTTTTTTACGCACCCAAAGGAGCATACAATTATCTGTCCTGTCCTGTGTTATCTCATGTAGTTCACCAAGTCGTCCCGTCCTGTGTTATCTCATGTAGTTCACCATGTCGTCCCGTCCTGTGTTATCTCATGTAGTTCACCATGTCGTCCCGTCCTGTGTTATCTCATGTAGTTCACCATGTCGTCCCGTCCTGTGTTATCTCATGTAGTTCACCATGTCGTCCCGTCCTGTGTTATCTCATGTAGTTCACCATGTCGTCCCGTCCTGTGTTATCTCATGTAGTTCACCATGTCGTCCCGTCCTGTGTTATCTCATGTAGTTCACCATGTCGTCCCGTCCTGTGTTATCTTATGTAGTTCACCATGTCGTCCCTCCCTGTGTTATCTCATGTAGTTCACCATGTCGTCCCGTCCTGTGTTATCTCATGTAGTTCACCATGTCGTCCCGTCCTGTGTTATCTCATGTAGTTCACCATGTCGTCCCGTCCTGTGTTATCTCATGTAGTTCACCATGTCGTCCCGTCCTGTGTTATCTCATGTAGTTCACCAAGTCGTCCCGTCCTGTGTTATCTCATGTAGTTCACAAAGTCGTCCCGTCCTGTGTTATCTCATGTAGTTCACCAAGTCGTCCCTTCCTGTGTTATCTCATGTAGTTCACCATTTTGTCCCGTCCTGTGTTATCTCATGTAGTTCACCATGTCGTCCCGTCCTGTGTTATCTCATGTAGTTCACCATGTCGTCCCGTCCTGTGTTATCTCATGTAGTTCACCAAGTCGTCCCGTCCTGTGTTATCTCATTTAGTTCACCAAGTCGTCCCGTCCTGTGTTATCTCATGTAGTTCACCAAGTCGTCCCGTCCTGTGTTATCTCATGTAGTTCACCAAGTCGTCCCGTCCTGTGTTATCTCATGTAGTTCACCATGTCGTCCCGTCCTGTGTTATCTCATGTAGTTCACCATGTCGTCCCGTCCTGTGTTATCTCATGTAGTTCACCATGTCGTCCCGTCCTGTGTTATCTCATGTAGTTCACCAAGTCGTCCCGTCCTGTGTTATCTCATGTAGTTCACCAAGTCGTCCCGTCCTGTGTTATCTCATGTAGTTCACCATGTCGTCCCGTCCTGTGTTATCTCATGTAGTTCACCATGTCGTCCCGTCCTGTGTTATCTCATGTAGTTCACCATGTCGTCCCGTCCTGTGTTATCTCATGTAGTTCACCAAGTCGTCCCGTCCTGTGTTATCTCATGTAGTTCACCAAGTCGTCCCGTCCTGTGTTATCTCATGTAGTTCACCAAGTCGTCCCGTCCTGTGTTATCTCATGTAGTTCACCATGTCGTCCCGTCCTGTGTTATCTCATGTAGTTCACCATGTCGTCCCGTCCTGTGTTATCTCATGTAGTTCACCAAGTCGTCCCGTCCTGTGTTAGCTCATGTAGTTCACCATGTCGTCCCGTCCTGTGTTATCTCATGTAGTTCACCATGTCGTCCCGTCCTGTGTTATCTCATGTAGTTCACCATGTCGTCCCGTCCTGTGTTATCTCATGTAGTTCACCATGTCGTCCCGTCCTGTGTTATCTCATGTAGTTCACCATGTCGTCCCGTCCTGTGTTATCTCATGTAGTTCACCATGTCGTCCCGTCCTGTGTCATCTCATGTAGTTCACCATGTCGTCCCGTCCTGTGTTATCTCATGTAGTTCACCATGTCGTCCCGTCCTGTGTTATCTCATGTAGTTCACCATGTCGTCCCGTCCTGTGTTATCTCATGTAGTTCACCATGTCGTCCCGTCTTGTGTTATCTTATGTAGTTCACCATGTCGTCCCGTCCTGTGTTATCTCATGTAGTTCACCATGTCGTCCCGTCCTGTGTTATCTCATGTAGTTCACCATGTCGTCCCGTCCTGTGTTATCTCATGTAGTTCACCAAGTCGTCCCGTCCTGTGTTATCTCATGTAGTTCACCAAGTCGTCCCGTCCTGTGTTATCTCATGTAGTTCACCATGTCGTCCCGTCCTGTGTTATCTCATGTAGTTCACCAAGTCGTCCCGACCTGTGTTATCTCATGTAGTTCACCAAGTCGTCCCGTCCTGTGTTATCTCATGTAGTTCACCATGTCGTCCCGTCCTGTGTTATCTCATGTAGTTCACCATGTCGTCCCGTCCTGTGTTATCTCATGTAGTTCACCGACTTGTTTTCCACATCTTTTGTATCTTAGTTTCTAATTGTCTTCCCCGGGAGTCTTTTCCT